GGAGTTGCATGGAGCCAAATCTGGCAAATTGGTCACCAAAACCAGTAGTTTTTCTGTGATGTGATGCAACAGTCCAGGTCAGATTTGATTATCTCTGATTTTATGGGAACATTAACACAAATGGCTTTAAGTTCTAATGTTGTGAGCGTTTCAGAAAAGTATAGTGATTTATTATAGTGAAAGTATTAATGGTGCTCCTATTGAGTTTGTTGATTCCTACAAATATTTGGGTATCTTGGTCGATTCGCATCTTTTTTTTTTTTTTTAAGCTCCACGTGGAAAACTTTGTAAGGAAACTGAAAGTTAAAGTGGGTTTCTTTTTCAGAAACAGATCCTGTTTAACCTTGAATGCTAGGAAACGACTTGTAACTGCGACTTTCCTTCCCTCCATTTACTACGGTGACATTATTTACATGAACGCTCCTACAAGCACCCTGCACATGTTGGACACTGTCTATCATGGTGTGCTAAGATTTGTAACTGGCTGCGTACCCACCACTGCACCCTGTATTCACTGGTTAACTGGTCATCATTAACTTCACGCAGACTCTCCCACTGGTTCATTTTCATCTTTAAATCACTTCTTGGTCTGCTGCCTTCATACATCTCCTCCTACTCTGCGTGAGTGCAGCTACAGCGTGCGCTCTCAGGACATTATTACCTGCAGTGTTCCCTCAGTGAGGACTGAACTAGGCAAAAGGTTCTTCTACTACTCCGCTCCTGTTTCCTGGAATATCTTGCAAAAAGATCTGAAACTCTCGACCTTGACCTCTCTAAGTGGCTTTAACCATCTGTCAAGTTCCTAAGAAAAACCAACGCAGACATGTTCCTGTTTTTAGTTTTCTACACCGCATTACAATCTAGCTGTTTTTTGTTTTACATTTTTTAAATACCATTTTATTTTCACCTTAATTTGTACACGTCCTTTATGATTGTCTATTGTTGTCATCACTCTTTGTCAAAATCAAGTCTCTCTTGTAAATGAGTCCCTGAGGCTCAATGGGATTAACCTGTATAAATAAAGGTTGCATGAATAGTTTTATTGCTTAATAAGATCGTACCTTGTTTGTGTTTTAGTTCAAGTTCTATTTTGTGGCACGTCCCGAAGCCGAAAAAATATTCTGCATCTGTGATGGGCAGCTGTGCAAGTACCTCTTTAAGTAAGTCTTAAAACACATTAGAGAAGAGACGAGCAGCCGTTGCTCATAGGAAAAGGGATAATTGTGGATGAAAGGATTAAAGTGAACCCATGGGGTTTCCTGCAGGGTCTTTCTCCTTATTTATCTCTGCAAAGCATCACCCAGGATTATCACTTAGATGCAGCTAAAAGGTAAATGTTTACCACAGGGACCCGATCTGAATAGATCTCAACGGTCAGCTCTGAAGACTTGACTATTGTCTCAACATGAGATTAACCGATTGTCTGAGCTGCATTATTGACCGCGCTGCTGTCCTGTGCCTGGCTGCACCTGTAGCACCACAGCCAACACACAAACCGCAGTAGATGGAGTCCACAGAGAGCAGTGGATTATGACTGTTGGGTCAACAAACAAAAAATGCTCCGTTTTCTTGTGTTTCTCAGGAGTTGGTGGTCAAAGGTCATTATTTTATTTATTTTCCTTTTTTTTTATCTAGAAGTTGACCCAGGTATGAATTCCTGCAGCTTGCAGAGGCCGTCCAGCTAAATCTAGGCCTGCTATGAAGAGGTACAACTGGGAGGTTATTCATTTTGTCTAGTCAATTCTTTTTTTTATTATTCAAAAGTTATGTTGTCTTGATT